TTTTTGGCCACTTTGTGGTGAATGTTATTGTAAAAGGTGATAAAATCAGTACACTTCAACAACATAATTTTATATGTGGGTGATTTTACTAAAATGGAAAACTTGGGAAGATAGACGAGTCATTAGTTGTTACTTTTAACTTCTAAGAATACCGAATGTGTTTTTTATAAGAATTAAGATTTAATTGTAGTTATGATCCTATTCGTGATAGCTCAAAAGTTTTTGTGACTGTGAAGTGAGAATGTGTTATATAATTTACTTTTTAGTCTGATTTCTGTTTTATTTTCGTAGGCCAGTAGGATGCATATCCAGGAACAACCACAAAGTAGTCAAGTATCAGGAAAACATCTACCAGGTTTATCACCTCAGATGATACCCTCTTCTCCATCTCAACCACAGTCTATTCCTCAATCATCCACTCCTCAACCACAGTCAAACCAAACTCTTATCCAGCAGCCTCCAAGAGCAGCCTCGGTACCAGGAACAACAAGAAGTCGCCCGAGCACTCCTTCTACTCCTCAAAGTTTCCAGAAACAGCTGCAACATCTTCAGGAAAGTCAACAAAAGCAACAGCAATCAAAGCAGATAGGCTCTCCATTTTCTCAAGTTTCAACTCCTCAAGGATTTTCTGTTACCAGCAACTCTGAGGGAGTAGCTTCTAAAAAGGACATAATGTGTACCGTGACTTGTTCTAGCACAACACAAAACGTATCTAAGACAGACTCTCCCTCCATTACCAGTGCCCCAAGTGTCCAAGTAACCACTTCTGCTACTTCAGAAATCAAAATGGAAGTAGACACCACTGAAATCAAAGAAGGGAAAGCTGAGATAAAACAGGATTCTAAGACTCCAAAATGTGAAAAGGGTATAAAAGTTGAAATAAAACAAGAGCCAATTGATGATAGTTCTACTTCGGGATACGTTAGCTCTGAATGTTCTGCAACTATGAAAGAAGAGCCAGTTTCGGTAAAAGAAGAGTCATCGACCCCTGTGTCCAGTGCAAATAATGGAGAACTGCCAAATTTAACCAGTGATGTCAAACCAGATCTGTCAGAAGCTGCTCAACCACCCCCCAAACCAAAACCCAACAAAAAAGGTAAGTTTTCATGTAAGAGGAGGAGGAGGGGTGTTTCATTTTAGACTGTACTAAAAGTTTCATTCAGCTGAATTTATTTGGAGACAATATTTCTAGCTATTACAAGTGAATGATAATGAAGAAAACTTGTATGTTAATTTTGATGTTTATGATATATCTTGTTATGATACACTTCTCTCCTCAGTGGTGATCTAATTGAAAGGTAAACAAGGTTACTTGCTTGTTTTGTGATAAAACCTGTAAAACGTGGCTTCAAAATAAAAAATGGTGGTAATAAAAAGATTTGCATTAAATTTTGAATGTAACTCTATAGAAGGTTGTGGCATGTACGATTTCCCCCCTCCCTTATCGAAAAATTTAATGAGAATTCAGCTGTAAACTTCTGCACGGAGAAATGTAACTTATCATCAAAGAGATTGGCTGTACTAATGATTGAACATAAGAAGCTAGTAATTAATTAAACAAATTTCAGCCTAACACTCGTTACCTCCGGCTATTTCTTCTTGAAAGCAAATAATAATCTGGTGTAGAATAAGATTAACGGAGAAGAAGGTTCTTTATTTCTTCTCTTTTTCCTTTAAGTGAACGTTGAAATATTTGTAGAACATAACTTTATAATTTGTACCATCTGGATTTCATGTTTAGAAACTTGGGTACAATCTTTATATTTTATTCGGGTATCTAGATATCATCTGAATATCGATTGTTTATTAAATCATCTTAATACCTCTTGGACATTGTATGTAGACACATGGATACCATTTGGACATTGTATGTAGGTATATGGATACTTCTTGGATATTGTATTGAGGTATATAAGTACAATATCCAAGAAGTATCCATATCCAAGAAGTATCCATATACCTAAGTACAATATCCAAGAAGTATCCATATACCTTGTACTTAGGTATATGGATACCTCTTGGATATTGTATTAGATTTACTAATTTACAAAAAATCAGAAACTTGCTCCATAACTTCAGGCATTTGCCTAATTGACCAGGGTCTGCTAGTTGTAAATTATTAGGTTGGTTAACCCTTAATTTCTCTGGTTAATTAACTAATTTGGTTCAGCAAAGCTTTTACATCACTTATCCTTGATGACCGTATCAGCACGAAATTGGTTACAGTAAGTTAACCTTGCTTCAATTTATAACACCCTATGTATCCCCGTACTTTTGTAAGACGTTTCTGTCTCGTAACGACATTACTACAACAACTAAAACACCCGCGCCTTCAATATATTTATCCATCCTTTTCATGATTTATTATTCTTTTGATCTGAATACAGGTTTTCTAGGTCTCTACCACGTTAGAACTTCCACAAAATTTATCGTATTTCATTGTCATCAAAAGGATGTGAATTATTTCATAGACAATTTTCACTGTTGTTGATTCCAATAAGTGGCTAGCTGTGTTATTGTTTTCTTTCACAAATGAGTTTTATAAATTTCCTGCATTCAACTTTGTGAGCTGTTTATTTTAGCCACACACTCTTTAATATAAGTGTTTACTTTCCTCAACCAAGTTATTTGGTAAGAATATGTTATTTTTGTAGTTTTTACTTTTTTTTATATGTAGTAATATTTAACACTTCTATACATGAAGGGGTTTCAAGATAATAAAATATATTGATATCAGAGTGTACTACTAACATTTTACAATTAGAACATCAGTATGTATCCCAGAAACTTAACACTTCTTTCTTGTGTAACTGGTAACTTTTGTTCTAGTAATTAAATATAATAATAAGGTAATTTTTTTTACTCTTGTGCAGTAAGCTCCAATGTAAATAATCTAGAATAAATTGCGACATTGATAGCTTGTTTAGTATAAGATGGCACATCATCTTTTGGGGTTTGTACTCACAGAATTTTGATTTTGTTCCAGTTTTCAAGCCTGATGAATTACGTCAAGCTCTAATGCCTACACTGGAGAAGTTGTATAGACAAGATCCTGAATCGCTACCTTTCAGACAACCAGTCGATCCACAGCTACTGCAGATCCCAGTAAGTTTCAAATGGAGAAAAAGATGTCAGTATTTGATCGTAGTTTAAGTTTTTAGTGAGCATGGTTTAAAATTGAGTTTGTTATGAGAAGAACCGTGTCCTTTAATTTTGATATTTTCATTTATCTGTATTTTATATATTGAACAGCTTTTGGATTCTGCAATGGAATTTTCCAGAATGTTTAGAATGTTTATTTGACATATTCGTAGGATTTTTTTTATTGATGCTTTATTCTAATAGAAGCATGATACTTTTTTTTATTAAGTTTTGTTAAAGTGTGATAATGTAACTGTAATCAAGTTTACAGTGTTTACAGTTCAGAAATACAGGTATTCTTATGGTAAAATCATGAAAAATATTTACATTCTGCTAATTAGCTGATTATAATCCTTTGGCTGTATGTGCTTAGATTTACGAATATGCTTATTAATGTGTGTGTGCAGGACTACTTTGACATAATTCGGAAACCAATGGATTTATCAACTATTAAACGGAAACTAGATACCGGACAGTACCAAGATCCATGGCAGTATGTGGATGACTTATGGCTGATGTTTGATAATGCCTGGTTGTACAATAGGAAAACATCCCGTGTTTATAGATATTGTACAAAGGTATATTTGAATTTGTTTTATTTTCATAAAAACATTCTTTTAAACACTTTGTTTGTAGTATAAACTAATGTTATTAACTTGAAATGAGGTTTCTGCTATACGTAATGCTGCCATAAGCTAACGATTAAAACGTACTTATTTTTTATATTTCATTTAGCTCGCAGAAGTTTTTGAGCAAGAAATAGACCCGGTCATGCAATCCCTTGGTTATTGTTGTGGCCGGAAGTATGTTTTTCAACCTCAAGTCTTGTGTTGTTACGGCAAACAACTTTGTACCATACCAAGAGATGCAAAATACTGGAGTTATCAAAACAGGTGTGTAATTTTGATTAGGTTTGTTGTAGCTGATTAAATTAAACTTTTAACAGTGCATCAATTGTATAGTTATTGATTTTAGAATCATGAGCAAAGATTTAAACCTTTTTTCTCCAGTAAAACATTATTATTTTCAACTTTAGACATTATTGATAAAAAAGGAAATAACTTGTTCACAGAATATATTTTCTTTCTTTTTTTTCTTGTGATAAGAAGAGAGAGAGAGAGAATATTTATTAACTTTGGTAAAAACCATCTGATAGTTTACCAAGCCTTTGAGTTAAGAGTTTTTGGTTTGGCTAATAAGTTTTTTTCCTATTCTGTTTAGTGAAAATATTAGTAACTTTTTACAGTGATGATAATTTATTAATCATATAATGGTTAAAGCCTGTGTCAAGTAACTGATTTTGTATGTGGGCTTGCATATTATATATATTTCCCTTTAAAAAGGTACACCTACTGTCAGCGATGTTTTGCTGAGATTCAAGGTGACACTGTAACACTAGGTGATGACCCAACAGCACCTCAGACGTAAGTTTAGAATAATTAGTTAAACTTGATTAATTTTTATTTTATAAATATTTAGTTGAAACCATTAATTTTACGTGATAACTTTTTTCGTATGTAATCGGAGAACTCGCGGGAGATATGCACTGACGATTATGATGTTAGTTATTAATCGTCAGTGATACTAGTTCAGGTGATTAATGTGGCAGAAAGATGTGGAACTAGAGAAAAGTAGATGGTTGAGTAATGTAACCCTTTTTTTTTAACTTGTACTTTTTTATCAATTCACAACATTTTTGCTTTGAAGTTATGGTATTTTCCTCATATTTCATAAATCTCATTATTGTATTCTCTTTAAAATATAATTATATCTTTGTTGGTGTGGGGAAGTTTTAATGCAGAAGTAATGAAATTTTTCTCTTTTGTTGTGCTATGTTTGTATTTTCTACCATAACAGGATGCTGGAAAGTTCTTATTACATGTATATTGTTGTTTTCATATCACTCGCATAGCTTGTAAGATGATACTAGTGTGTCGGGCTTTAACCAATTAATTATAATTTATTTTCATATTAGTTGTACAATCTGCTCTGATCTTTTAACAATTACATATTTAGATTCGCAAAAGAAGTTAATTTTTGTTTTCAATTCTTTGAGGAAATTCTTTCATTTATCTTCAAATAAACATTTTTTTATTCTACCCAGTGTTTTGGCTTATACCTTTTTCAAGGGTCTATGAACATAACAGGTTATAAAACTGATTTTAAATATAGTAACTGAAAAAAAACAACATAAAACTATAATTTAAAATCAATTTTGTAACTTGTGACATTCATAGACCCTTGAAAAAGGCCTATGAATAAATGTTGGGTAGAATAAAGAAAACATTTATCTGAAGTTGTTTCTTCTTTTCATTTCTGTTCTTCGGTCAGCACTGAAGCTGTTTCTTCTTTTCATTTCTGTTCTTCGGTCAGCACTGAAGTTGTTTCTTCTTTTAATTTCTGTTCTTCGGTCAGCACTGAAGTTGTTTCTTTTCATTTCTGTTCTTCGGTCAGCACTGAAGTTGTTTCTTTTCATTTCTGTTCTTCGGTCAGCACTGAAGTTGTTTCTTTTCATTTCTGTTCTTCGGTCAGCACTGAAGTTGTTTTTTCTTTTCATTTCTGTCCCTCGGTCAGCACTGAAGTTGTTTCTTTTTTTCATTTCTGTTCTTCGGTCAGCACTGAAGTTGTTTCTTCTTTTCATTGCAAATAGTTTCTGTTCTTCGGTCAGCACTGAAGTTGTTTCTTCTTTTCATTGCAAATAGTTTCTGTTCTTCGGTCAGCACTGAAACTTTTAAAAATAATAATAAATATTTAATTTATCTCTGACTTTCATTGAGAAAGTAATTTTACATGTGGATTGGTATAATGTTCATTAACAGAACCATTTGGTAACCATTCCAGGTATTATGGGTCGGTCATTGTTACTGATACAACTAAGAGAAAAAAAATTTATTTTCTGTGAATTGTAAAACACGCTATTCTTTGTCTTTCACAACATAACTGAAGTTATGTTACATCAGCTTAGTTTATGTAATTTTTAAAATTTACAAAACACAGATTTGGTTGTGTTTCTATAAACTAGGTTATTAGTGAATTGTATTGATTTTTTTTTCGAACTAAAATTGTGTTTGATTTTATTTATTTTTTCACATTCCTTATTTCGTGCAAGTTTTGTTAACCCTATGACTATCGTGTCCTACAATCCGTATGACCTAACGTCGCTATCTTTATATTTTGTTCCAAAAATAAAATTAGTGGATGAAATTGTTTGAAGTTCGATGAAATTTTATTTAATGTAGTTATTTGTACTCGGACTCTGAATAGTTCACTTGTAAGGTGATTTTCATTTTGAGTATAACAATACTATTTATTATCTTACAATTTTCATATTTCATTTGCATAATCTCTAGAACCTCCTAAATGAATATCGAAATTTTTTGTAAGGTAAATGTTTATATTTTATTTTCTGTTTTCTGTACTATATCACTAACTCTAGCTATTATCATCACTGTACAGTGTAATGAAATGTTTCAAATTAAGAAATATGTACTTACTTAGTTTTAAAATATGTTCTTTGGGCCTAATTTCATGACTTTACCTTTTCACTAATAGTTTGATTTTAGTGTTTTATTTTCTCTTTCTATTGTTTACCGTTGATTATTTATTTTGACACGTCAGTGGGTACCCATGGCCAATAGAATTAGCAGAGATATTTTAGCCTCCATCAAATTTTTTTGTACGTGACTTTGACCTAGTACTTGTAGAAGCTCGTCTAGACTATTGTAGAGGTACTGAGACAAACCTGAACAGAAACATAAGCAATCAAATATAAGATATTTCCACTTCATATGACAACAAACTGATGTTATAATTGTTTGTTTCTTTTGAAATAAAGGAGTAACAACTTGGATAATAAAAAACTTTGAATTATAATATAATTGATAATCTTAAGTTAATTAAACTACATTGACAGTAAATTTTGAATGTAACACTTTGTGACATGCACAAAAAGGAACTTAAAAGAATGTGTCGGTAGTCATAGGGTTAACACCACATTATCTTGAACATATTTTTACATACTTTTGACATGAACGAAACAAAGTAGTTTCACTACAGAATTTGTTTTGAAGATTTAAGTTTGTATATACTATGTCTGCATAGTTTCTAGAGGTGGACAATGTTTTGGTTACTTCATTGAGGACTTCACATGGAAGATTGTCCACCTCTAGAAGCTAGGCAGATGTACTCCATGGAAAATTTAGTGCCAACATTATCTATTTACTCGTTAAACTATTCTTAAAAATATATATTTTCATGTGATAAATCATCTGACGTGTATTGTTTATGATATTTCAGTGTAATTGAAATAAGTTTTATAGGTTTATATTTTGCTTTAAGAGGTCTATTTTTGTCTTAAGTTGAAATCAGATGAAGTCCTTAATTATCAGGCTGTAATGGTGTATCCTTATAAACGTGTTTTGTCATTGCTAACGTTAACAGGATACAGTTATTCCAATCGTGTATCTGTTTCTTTAATATCTGGTACACAAGTAAATTTTGTAATTTTACGATTAGTGTATGGAGGAAGATAACGTATTTGGGGTTAAACTCCAGGTGTGATATTCTTATGCACTGTATCAGTCATGTTGATATATTGGGCACACTAAGTTCCTCTGTAACAGCTGAGGTTAAACTTATAATTAAATACAGTGTTTTCTGTAAGATGATGTAAAGCATCCATGGTTTTGACACACAACTAATCGGCAAGGTAACAGTTTGGTCATTCATTACACGTTATAAAATGATCGGTTTATTTACACTGTAGAGGTGATGAGAATAAGTTGTTATTCAGTAACTGTTTCCTGTTAAAGAATATATCTGGAAGATTAGTTTGTGTATTGGTTAATTTAGTTCTACCATCTGGACGTGCTTAGAAGGTGTTGATTAAATTCTAAAATATTGGATGTATGTATGATGTGCTGATTTAACTATCATATGAATGTGTGTGTGATGTGGTGATTAAATTACCATATGGATGTAGGTATGATGTGCTAACTTAATTATCATATGAATGTGTGTGTGATGTGGTGATTAAATTACCGTATGGATGTAGGTATGATGTGCTGATTTAACTATCATATGAATGTGTGTGTGATGTGGTGATTTAACTATCATATGAATGTGTGTGTGTGATGTGGTGATTAAATTACCGTATGGATGTAGGTATGATGTGCTAACTTAACTACCATATGAATGTGTGTGTGATGTGGTGATTTAACTATCATATGAATGTGTGTGTGTGATGTGGTGATTAAATTACCGTATGGATGTAGGTATGATGTGCTAACTTAATTATCATATGAATGTGTGTCTGATGTGCTGATTTAACTATCATATGAACGTGTGTGTGATGTGGTGATTAAATTACCGTATGGATGTAGGTATGATGTGCTGATTTAACTATCATATGAATGTGTGTGTGATGTGGTGATTAAATTACCGTATGGATGTAGGTATGATGTGCTGATTTAACTATCATATGAATGTGTGTGTGTCATGTGCTGATTTAACTACCATATGGATGTGTGTATGATGTGCCAATTTAACTATCATATGAATGTGTGTGTGATGTGGTGATTAAATTACCGTATGGATGTAGGTATGATGTGCTGATTTAACTATCATATGATGATGTGCTGATTTAACTATCATATGAATGTGTGTATGATGTGTTGATTAAATTCTAAAATATGGATGTGTGTATGATGTGCTGATTTAACTACAATATGAATATGTGATGTGCTGATTAAACTACCATCTGGATGTACCTATCCAACATTGGTTTTTACGTATTTAACTGTCACTAGGAGATAATACAATGTCAAAACAGATTAGAACATCAGTAAAAGGAAAAACCAGAAAGTAATAATAATTGTGCTTTAAAGTCAAAACTTTAGATAACTTAAGTAGAAAATTTAATGATAATTGTTTAAACCACAAAGTTGTTATGACTTTTGGTCAGTCAGCTGTTATGATGTCTAATCAAATGCTATAACAACATAATACACTCCAAATAAAAACCATTCAAATCAACTGGATAACACTTCTTAACTAGACATCGGAGAATAATTATCAGTTGCGTTATTGTTAAGAGATTGTCTTGATGTGAGAATTTGTCAAATTGAAATAATGTTACTAACCATTTAATTATTAAACTTCTGCGGTATGCTAAGTAAGAAAGGATGAATGAAAGTTTTTATGTAACGTATGTTATCAAACTAACATTTTTGATTTATCCAGAACATTCTCTTATTTTTAGTACAATTCCCAAGGATCAGTTTGAAGAAATGAAAAATGATCATCTCGAAATAGAACCGTAAGTGCTATATCTCGGTTTGATAAGAAAACCTAGGTAACTGTAAGGTAACATTACGATCATTTTAACCAGTTGGGCCTAATTATGTTTTGATGAGTTGTAGCTGTACAGCACAGTTTTATCAGTCCCAGTTGTCAGTATCTGTACAATTCTTTAAATTAATAAACCCGTTGGCATTTTTTACTCTTTATTTTTGAAATTTCATAACATTTTTATTTAGACAGTGATTTTATATTGTTTGTTTTGAATTTTGCGCAAAGCTACACAAGGGCTATCTGCGCTAGCCGTCCCTAATTTAGCAGTGTAAGACTAGAGGGAAGGCAGCTAGTCATCACCACCCACTGCCAACTCTTGGGCTACTCTTTCACCAACGAATAGTAGGATTGACCGTCACATTATAACACTCCCACGGCTGAAAGGGCGAGCATGTTTGGTATGACGGGGATTCGAACCCGCGACTCTCAGATTGCGAGTCGAGCACCCTAACCACCTGGCCATGCCGGGCCCGATTTTATATTGACAAAAATTACTTACATCCTAGAGTTATAATTTGTTTCACTGTACTTCAAACAAGCCTTCTGAGTTTAAATGATCAATGTTTGTTGCAGTGAAAATACAGTTTTTGTGCGTATGTTTAAATAGCATCATACATAGTTCTTGTGTCATCATATAAATCACTGGTATAATGTAATAAAAGCAGCCATTTATAAAGAACTTTTGTTGTTGTTTTAAGGATATCTAGTAAGGAAAAGCTTTCTAGAATCTTATGTTAATTAGTCTTGAGAATGATTTATTCATGACATTTATATTTAAATACACATGAACGTTTGTCGAACTTCTTTTAGATTTGTTGAGTGTATGGAATGTGGAAGGAAGCTTCATCAGATTTGTGTTGTATATTCTGAGAACATTTGGCCTGAAGGGTGAGTATCAGTATGAAGTTATTATTTTTACTATTTTTGTAGAGTAAGCAGTTGTCTTGTAATTCTATAGTCTTAGAAATCTAGACTTTTTTTTTTGGAAAATAAATAAATTGAATGTATTTACTTCTACTCTCATTTATGTCATGACCCGTAAGCTATTACTGAGTATGTTCATACACCTATTTGAAGAGAGACACACCTCTTGTTGTGTTAGTTTTGTTTAAAAGTAATGGATCTATTAATTGACAGATTTGGTTTGTGGGGAGTAGTAAACTCTGTCGTTAAAGTCTATTCACGTGATATTTTCACCCTTGAATAATTATCTTGTGACTCCCACCCCACCCCTTTTTTAAAACAAATTTTATTTATTAATTTATTGTTATGATTCTGTGACCTCATTGATCACTGGGCCCCTAACAACATATGCGTCATACAGAAACAGTATTGTAGTTGATCCTTCTAATTCCTTCTAGGACATCATGTGGATCCTATTAGTAGTGAACAGTGTATAAACAAATCGGTAATTTAACGATTAAACGTCTTTCGATATCATATTCTCCAAGATTTCTGTGTTGAAATGTTATGATTCTGTGACCTCATTGATCACTGGCCCCTAACAACATATGCGTCATACAGAAACAGTATTGTAGTTGATCCTTCTAATTCCTTCTAGGACATCATGTGGATCCTATTAGTAGTGAACAGTGTATAAACAAATCGGTAATTTAACGATTAAACGTCTTTCGATATCATATTATCCAAGATTTCTGTGTTGAAATAAGCACTGAAGTTTTTTCTTTTTGGATCATCATAGGGTAACTGTAGAGAAATGGACAACTTTGTTGTATATTTCAGAGTTTATCTAATAATTCAACTATTTCCTGTCGGTTACTCTAGAAAAATCATAAGATTTATGTGAATGAAGAAAGGTCATCAGAGTAGTGCACTTAATGATAGCAACTGTCATTATTAGCATTAAACCTAAGATCTGTGACGATACATTCAAGAGAGTACCATCACAGAGCTATAGTGTAATCACTTTTAAACATCAGTATTATTATTGTTGTTGTTGATGATTCAATAATAGATCTGAGATGTAAAGATTTTTAATTTCAGTTTTGTTGAATTAATATTGAAGATGAACAATATTTTTGAATTTCAGGTTTGTTTGCGATAATTGTTTAAAAACTCAGGGGAAGAAGAGAAAAGAAAATAAGTTCTCCAGCAAGAGTGAGTAAAGTCTTGTAGTTATTAAGAAGTCTTGTGAGAGTGAGTTAAGTCTTGTAGTTATTAAGAAGTCTTGCAA